TTAAATGGTACTATAATTGACTGGAATCGCCATGAAAATATTAACTTGAGTAGTCAAATAACAATAACAGTCATCATCATTATTATTTTACAAGCGACAGTAACTTAATGGTAAGGTGCGAACCGCGAACTCAAAGATCGTGGGTTCGAATCTGCCATACGACTACTGTTGTGAATCACTCCTGACGCAAGCATTTTTAGCTTACCTGGAGTGGTTAACGGGAATATTATTTGTGTTAATAGCTTTTTTATATAATGGGGCTGACAAACGAGCAACAGTAGTCATAGTAAGAAGATGCTGTGGTCCATAGACATCTACATTTATTCTTAATTAAAAATCAAAATTCAGGTGATTTGTCGCCCCTAAGGACTAAGATAGAATGCGTCGTTTTCAGTAAAAAGGGTCTCAGGTTCTCTACACTCACCATATAAAACACATCAGCATTAAGCTGCTATTTTACGCTGGTATCCTGTGAGAGCGTGGTCCTTCCCCGTACGAGCCGACCCATTCGTGCTACAACCATAATATAGCTGCAGCGTGACTCTACCGTATATTAAATGATAGTGATCTGCCCCGGCTTTGCCTAGGATAGGTTTGTAGGATCTATCAATGTTGCGTTATTCGGATAATATAAAATAATCATCAAGGACCATTTTATTTTATCAAATTTTCGATTTCTAAAAACAGTCCATGTTTTTGATATGTATCTTATATAGATTTTGAAAAGGTCAACCACTTCATATTGGAAAATATAAGACACATTAAGTAATAGATAAAAATTAATGAGATGTTGTATCTGTCTGTCTTTTTATAATGTTAGGAAAAATATTATGAAATCCAAATAAATAGTTTTATGATACGAACATCGAACAGAGAATATCTCTGTGATCAAGGGTTATCATTTAACGAAACAAATTTTACGGATTTAATGGCGTTTAATTTTAAATTAGTTTTTAATGATGTGTGTATTGTTCGTGTAAATATAAGAAATAATTAAGTGCGTTATCAATTACTGGCCGTTTTTTGTGGTAGCGAATCAAGCTAATTTACACATAGGTACGTATTATACTATTAGTACCTTTTATAGAAACACGTGTTAACACAGATATTCATAAGGAGTGCTTTGTTGTTAGAAAAATACTTTATTTTCCGACTTCAAAGACCTTTTTTTGAAGGAGGCTCTTAATTCGTGTACATTTTTTTTGTCTGTTACCTCAGAACTTTTTCATAGGTGAATCAATTTTGATGACTCCTTTTTTATTTAAAAGCTGGTGCTTCTCATGTGGTTCCATATAAATTTGATCAAGATATGACCAGTAGTTTTTGCGTTATTCTTAATAGTGCGTATTTAATTGACTTCAACTACATTAATGATGTTCTCATTTTATTAATATTGAAGTCGGTTGTAAAAAATTTTTAATTTTACCACTTGTAAAACTGCATGGTTCAACGGAAGATATGTTAGGAGTGATGGTAATACAAGAAGTAGAACACAACCTTGGGCATCACCGCAAAGAAGACATTATTTTGTGGGAGAAAAATCATTTTCATAATTAAACAGATTAAAAAATTCTTGTTGTACTATGACGAAGCAGGAAAGATTGGATGCATTATCACCACTATGTATTGAAATTATTTGCTACTTGAAATAGATTCTGACGACATTATCAGGGATTTCGTTATTAAGAGGTCGAGAAAACAGTATTTCAGTCAGTAAAGCATACATCGAAAATTGTACCTAATAAAAAACCAATATAACATGAAAAAGTGGACAATATTTGCTATGGAAACATAGGGAATCAAAAACCTTAGGTTTTCAGTTCAATTTTCAATCGTCGATGTAAAATATATATTAATAGCATTTACTATAAATATACAATTCATTATACAATAGTTTATACCATTGTTACATTATACAATAGTTTATACTATTGTTATAACGGGTGAGGCTGATGAACCTGAGCTTCCCCAGAGTTTTCGGGCTGTTAAAGAAAAAAAGTACAAAAGTAATTATCTTACTAAACTATTATTTCAGTACAGAACAAAAATCACTCTAAACCCTAAAAGGGATCATACAAACTGAAAAGGAAAAACCCGAAACAAAGAACTAATCGCCCTTTCGCTCTGTAACCCGATTCTGGTTTCCATTTTTTAAAGCGGGGCCATATGCAACGGTAACATAATAATAAATGTCCCACACATGCATTTGAAAGAAAGCAAGAAAGAAAGAAAGAAAAATATTTATAACAACAAACACCCAACATATATGTTACAAAAGATATACACTAAACAACTTTTAACTACAGACTCAAACAAACCTAAACCCTAAATAAAATGTAAAGAATTCAGTCAACGCTTTATTATGTGTGCGGGTTTGATATAAAAGGCTACATTCAGCATAATTTCGTGATGTTATCCACAACACTGGTTTTCAGTGAGCTCTCTAGTGACAATTGCTAGTTTTAGTAAGTCTGCTACGCTGCTCGAATATGTGTTGGCAAATTTCACAAGTTCTTGATCAATTATTTCTTAGTTACACGGGATTTCTCACCATATTTTGTTTTAACGCCATGGTAAATCAATTATATTTGCAAATTTTAAATTTTTATGTTGAAGGTAGCTGTTGTCAAGTACATCGGGTCGTTGAACACCCCAGTCCCCCCGTGACCATTGGTGCTGCTAAATACGCGAAACGTCGGGAATATAAAAAAGCTCATTAACCGCGATAAAATCGGTAAAACTAGTTTCATTTAATAAACAATTAAATTAGTGCTGGCTTAGAATCGTATCCGGCTTAACATTCTATATTCAAAGCGAGCGCTTAGGGGGAGTTACTGCGTCTGTCTACGCACAGCTTGTTTTGCTTTTAACAACGAATTAATTAAATTTACATAGGCATAAGAGATAAAATTCCGTCCGCAATATTAAAAATAATTGCTTTCTGTTGAGCTGCAGAGAGGTGTAAGACAGGGTGACGTTATATCCCCGAAACTCTTCACCGCTGCTTTGGAAGACGTTTTCAAGCTACTGGACTGGAAAGGATACGGTATTAACATCAATGGCGAGTACATCACTCACCTTCGATTTGCCGACGATATAGTCCTTATGGCAGAATCGCTGGAGGACCTTAGCACTATGCTCAATGACCTCAATGGTGTCTCCCAACGGATAGGTCTTAAGATGAACATAGACAAAACAAAGATTATGTTCAATGTCCATGTCACACCTATGCCGGTAGTTGTGGGGAGCACTATGCTCGAAGTTGTTGACGAGTACGTTTACCTGGGACAAATAGTCCGACTAGGTAAGTCCAACTTCGACCGAGAGGTCAATCGACGGATTCAACTCGGCTGGGCAGCGTTCGGGAAATTACGACACATCTTCTCGTCAGGTATACCTCAATCTCTGAAAACTAAAGTGTATAACCAGTGCGTGTTGCCAGTGATGACTTACGGATCAGAGACGTGGTCCTTCACTGCTGGCCGTATGAGGACGCTCAAGGTCGCTCAGCGAGCTATGGAGAGGGCTATGCTCGGAGTTTCTCTGCGTGATAGACTCAGAAATGAGGATATCCGCAGTAGAACCAGAGTGACCGACATAGCCCAACGGATTAGTAAGCTGAAGTGGCAATGGGCCGGCCATATAGCTCGAAGAACCGATAACCGATGGGGAAGAAAGGTTCTCGAGTGGCAGCCTCGTACCGGTAGGCGTAGTGTAGGGCGACCCCCCACTAGATGGAGTGACGACCTGGTAAGATATGCAGGAAGTCGATGGATGCAGGTGGCTCAGGACCGTGCTTTGTGGCATTACTTGGGGGAGGCCTATGTTCAGCAGTGGACTTGTGAAGGGCTGTAATGATGATGATGATGATGATGATGTTGAGCTCAGGGGTTATTTTCAAGTTATTAACTGTATTGACGGACTAAGAATATCCACTACTCCATAATCTCCCGTGGGTTTCGTAAGAGGCAACAGAGGTAAATTGAATCAGGAGATGGGCAACAGCATCTTCCTGATAACAAATAAAAATAATAAGAAAACTGCGGTTGCCAACCCGCTCGCCAAGCGTGGCAACTATGGCAAAATACCCCGTGAGGCAATCTATGGGGAGACCAGTGTTCAGCAGTGGACTTTTTATTGGCTGTAATGGATGACATCAATGACCATTTTTAAAAGATTTGTTTGTGTGTCTACCCGCACTTATGCTGCTGAACCAACCGTGATGAAATATCCCAAATGGATACTATGACAAAACTATGAATGTTAAAGGATAAGGTGATGGTAAGGTAAAGTTTTTTATGTAAAAATAATAGATCGTCAATTTTTACTTCAAATATTTTTCAAATCGCACATAGTTTTCGAAATAGTAGCAAAAAATTGAGTTTTTGAACTATCTGCGTGGTAAAGCCATACTCTAGCTATTACGGTTGTAGCATGAATAATAATAATAATAATCTTTATTATTTATAAGGCGTAGGGAAGTGATGACCCCATCACCCGCTGACGTAACGGTTATGTGACAAATCCGCTACGTCAGCGCAGTTAGTCAGCACCTTGCCAAGAGGTGTTAGTGCCGTGCCTCGGCAAAAATTGAAGGTGCAAAGACCCGCTTGTGCACATGGCCTCACCATGAAACGGCGCCGGGTTTGGGCGTCTCCCGCTAAACAACACCCTAAAAATGGATGATGGAATTAAATAGAACGCGCAAAAGGCCGCTGCCTGGAGGTCGCCAAGGCGCGTCTGGAGCTGGCGCTGGACGCGACAGCATGCGAACCGCCAGCCGAGCGCGAGGTGCTGCACAACCACCCAGCAGTCCCTCGCATCCATCATCCCCACCAGCTGGCTTGGTGTCGGCAGGGTCATCGCGGGCCCAGCAATCGGCACCCGCCACTGGTGAAGTACGCCGCATGCGTTGAACAACCCAGATGAACAGCAATGCATTGCGGGCCTATTTTAGGGCGAAAGGGGGAGAAACTAGAGGTTTTGCGTATCGGGCAAGGATGCATCGACTTTTTGCTAAGCTGGAGCCATCTGTAACCGTCACCGAGCAAAACCTGGCAGACCGAGTTCGGTATATCTTGCGCTCAAATAGATTTGATGTCACCGAACTCGAACGGCTACGACGTGAGGCTGTTCCTACATCGGGTGAAAATGCTGCGGCTGAGGATGCGGCGCCACAACTTGCTGAGCAAACGGCAAATGTGAATGCCACCGTAAATACGCCAGTTGTGGTTGATTCAAACGATGATGGAACAGTCGCCCAGAAACTGGAACTAGAGCAAATGAGGAGTACATTGGAAGAGGCGATTGTGGAAACGCGCAGTACGCCTCTCAAAAATCGACCGCGACTTCCCCGCTTAACCCTAAGCAAGCGGAATCGGGCTGTCGTGAGAGCTCTGAACCCAATGCTAGTTACCTATTTAGAAACCAGCCGGGACCTTTGCGAGACGGACTCAATTCTTTTTGGCGCCGCACTGGCAGTCTGCCGTATTATAGGCGCCAAAGTTTCCACGGCTGGACGCGCTACTGGACAAAGTAGTGCTATCCTAGCCTGGAGAATAAGAATTGAAGAACGTATCGCAAAGGCTAGGGCCCTCATTAGCAGACTGATATGCTTCAAGTCAGGCAATATCAGGCCGTCAGGATGGCGTTTGCTGGGCCAAATGTTAGTTTCTCCCAGCCGGATATAATGCAAAAACTGACGAAGCGCATAGACGACCTGAAGCAAAGAATCGCTGCTTAAGGAAACCGGATTCGGCGATATACCGAGAGGTCGACACAGTTCAACCAGAATCGTCTCTTCCGGAGTGATCAGAAGAGACTCTATAAATCATTGAAGCGACCAATAGTAAGTGGAACGGGCCCAGCACCAAATTAGGCCGACACGGTGGAATTCTGGCGCAGCCTGTGGTCAGAGCCCGTAAACCACAACGAGGGCCCTTGAACGGAAGTTGTGGCGAGTCAGTGTGCGAGTATTAGGCCCATGGACCCCGTCATCATAACGCCGGATGACGTAGCTGAGGCGGTCCGTAGGGCCCCGAACTGGAAAAGTCCGGGGCTTGACGGGCTGCATCACTACTGGCTGAAGGGGTTCATGGTGTGTCACGCTGTGCTCGCCCGACAGTTTCAAGAGGCTCTCAACCAGAAGTCACTCCCAAGCCTCTTCACTACTGAGATCACTCATTTGGTTCCTAAATATCAGGGTGCCACACACCCGAGCAAATACCGCCCCATCACATGTCTACCGACTATATACAAGACACTAACATCCATTTTGAGCGCGAGAATCGCTCGTCACCTGGACTCAAATCAGATGATGTCGCGTGCTCAAAAAGGATGTTGGGGCGGCGGTCGTGGAACCAAGGAACCACTCCTCATTGACGCGGTCATTGGCAAAGTGGTGAAACGCAACCGTCGGAACTTCGCCGCCTGGATAGATTACAGAAAGGCATTTGACACGGTGCCCCATACATGGCTAAAGAGGGTCCTCGAGCTGTACAAGATTGACTGTACAATTCGAGACTTCCTCGAGCAGTGTATGGGGCAGTGGAGTACGATTCTCTGTCATCTAGGCGAGCGGATGACGGCTGCGGATAGCCGCATAAAGATAAGAAGGGGTATATTCCAGGGCGACTGTCTGAGTCCAATCTGGTTCTGCCTCCCTTTGAACCCTCTCAGTACTTTACTGGAGGGCTCCGGGAGGGGATTTCAGCTTTGGAAAGGAGGTACAAAAGTGAACCACCTTTTCTATATAGATAACCTCAAATTATTCGCCTCCAGTCGCTCCCATCTTGTGGAATTGCTAAACATTACTTGTGAATTTAGCAATTCTATTAGAATGGAGCTGGGGTAACGAACGGATAAGTGCGCGGTCCTCCATGTTGAAAGGGGAAGGGTTGCTAACTCTGAGGGCATAGACTTATCTATGCCCATCAACTTAAGGGCCCTTTCCGAGGCTGAAACATACCGATACCTGGGCATGTCACAGAACATCGGTATCGATGAGGCTGGTATGAAACAGTCAGTTTGCGACGTGTTTTATGCACGCTTGACCAAAGTGCTTAACAGACATTTGTCCAGTGTGAATAAGACACACGCGCATAACGGTTGGGTCATGCTTGTCCTCATGTATACCTTTGGCATACTCAGGTGGAGTCAGACTGAACTTAACGCCCTGGATAGAAAAGTCCGCACTTCAATGACGTCCGATAGGATGCGTCATCTGAGATCGTCGGTAATGAGGCTGTACTTGCCGCGAAAGTATGGTGGGCGTGGCTTCCTGAGCGCGCTCACCATGCATAATCGCGAAGTGTGCAGCCTCCGTCATTACTTACTGGCTAGATCGGATGATCCATTCTATAATTACGTCATTTCTAGTGATAAAGGACTTACCCCTCTATCCTTAGCCAACGAGCAATGGCAAGACCCGGCAGTACAGAGGGAGACCGTAGACCGGAAGGAGAAGGAGCTCCACGGGAGGTACTACAGGGCTCTACATAAGCCTCACGTAGATACAGCCGCCTCCCTCAACTTGCTACGTTTCGGTGACCTCTTCGGGGGAAACCGAGGGTTTTGTCTGTGCAATACAGGATCAGGTTATTAAGACCAACAACTATCGGAGATACATCCTAAAGGATGGCACTGTCGACGTCTGTCGAGCTTGTCGCCATCCCGGGAAGTCACTTAGGTTGTCATCTCCGGTTGTTCGGCGCTTTCTAACTCTGAGTACTTGCACAGGCACAACCTATTAGCCAGAATTCTACACCAGGAGCTCGCTCTGAAATACGGTCTCGTGGACCGAAAATTGCCGTATGACAAGTACTTGCCGGAAGCCGTGCTCGAAAATAACCGCGCCAGGCTCTACTGGGAGCGGGCCATCATCACAGACAGGACTATTCTTACGAATAAGCCTGATATTGTGCTGATGGACCGGGCACAGTCAAGGATATTTTTGATCGACATTACCATTCCGTATGACGAGAACCTCGTGAAAGCCGAAACAGGTAAACGAACAAAATATCTGGACCTCACGAGGTGACCGACATTTGGGGTGGTATGCCGACCGAAATTATTCCTGTAGTCGTCTCTGCGAATGGGCTAATCCCAGTCAGGCTCTCGGGTCATCTGAGGCGACTGGGACTCCGTGACGGACCGCTCCGGGCTCAAATGCAGAAGGCGGTGCTCCTCGATACCGCCCGCTTTGTCCGCCGGTTTCTTTCCCTTTCCCCCCTAACCCTCGGCCGTCTAGTCTCCCCTGCCGAGGGCTCCCATCTGGTTGGATCTTATTTATTTATGTAGTTTTTGTATTTATTTTATTTTATTGATATTTATGTATATTTATCTTTTCATTTTAATTTATAATTATATATTTATAGAACCCAACCAGGTGAGAAAATTATATAGATACCCCAATCTTTATTAAAAACTTAAGAAATTACAAATCAAATGTTGCACTGATTCCTAAACTAGGATAAATCCTGTATCTTAGGATATCAGTACCTTCCCATACAATTTTACAAATTTTAATATTTAACTCAGATTTTTCGTTAAACAGTTTTTTTAAGCCATGATTAAAGTAAATAAGTGATTCCCCTTTTACACACACACACACACACACACACACACACACACACACACACATACGTGTGTGTATGCAAACATGACCTGACATGACATGACGAGAATGGGTCGGCTCGACTGGGGAATGACCACGTTTTCACAGAATACCAGCGTAAATTAGTAGCTTTATGCTACCGTGTTTCGTATGGTGAGTGTAGAGAACAGAAGAACCCTTTTTACTAGAAAGATGGTTTCCATCATAGTCCTCAAGGGTGACAACGCATCTGTATTTGGATTCTTATGCGAGGTTATGTAGATGTCTATGAGCCACAGTATCCACTTGCCATCAGGTGGACTATGTGATTGTTTGTCACCTTTATCCTATTTAAAAAAAAATCCACTATTATAGATACGCAGGTTTTTTTTGCAGACAAAGTTGCGCGTAATAGCTAGTCTATACTGGGGCGGGTTGGATTGTGGGTTTCAGAGATATAAAGGATCTTAATGAAGAAGATATAACTCCCGTTTGAAACTTTTTAACAATATATTTTTTTGATTTAAAAATTTATTAAGATAACCCGCATGTTGTATCAACACACTTATTTTCTTCTTTTAAGAGGGCAAAGTTAGGGTATTTTCGTATTTTCATAGATTACTTTTGTGACTTTCGTCGGTCTCACAGTCAATAGAGATTCAAGTCAAGTAGGTAAATGCGAATGTGATAAACTTTGCTTAGATCTTTTTCTTTGATTTATCGCTTTCAGACGGAATATTTACGTTTGGCTTTTATAAAATCGAATCTCTTTCGTTATTTGACATGAGATAGAACCGTGAAAAAGATTTTACATAATATATTCGTGCAATAAATCTTTACATTTGGTTAATCTAAACGCTTTTCTTATAACAGTCTTTTACTCTTGTGAACGTTTATTTATTTGTTATTTTTTGTGGATGTTTATCTTTGGGATATGTAGAAAAATGGTAATAGTAATGTATTAAGTAGATTTATTTAAAAATACCCTAAACGATGACCTGGTAAGTTAAAGAAAAATGCAGGAATTCGATGAAAACAGGTTGTGGACCTAATTTTTTCGCATTTGTCGAAGGAGTGCCTATGTTAGTATTGGATTTGTTATTGGTTGTAAAAAATTATGATGATTTTTTACAGAATATGTTAAACTATAGAGATCCGGTACTCGCGTATAGTGGTGGGAGTGGGAGGGGAATGGGGGAGGATTCAGGGGAAGCGCCCCCTATCCTTTGCGGAAATGTATAATATATGAGTAATATTTTTTTATAAAATCATAACCTCACTTTTTACACAGGAATATTGACACAAAGTTACTTCTGCAACGGCTTCGGTACTGCGGGAAGTGCAGCCCCTTCGCCCTTGCGTAGCAAATCACAGGCACCCATGGTCGCCTCCGCAGCTTTGGCTTATTATACCATATATTACTTATACCAGCCTCAGCCGCCACGGCTTACTCAGGGACCTGCGATTTGCTACAGCGGACGGGGGCTGCTCTCCCTCCGCGCCTATGGCTTTACAAAAACACTCTCGGGGTAGGGCAGACAAGACCACGTGAAGTCGGGGCGTGCTAATTCGGTTTTAGAACCGATTTGACCAATCGTATCTCTAAAGTCAGGTTGCTCTAAACTCTGCTATGATAGTGGCAAATAAAATAATGTAATGTGAATTGTTATAAACTTGTTTTCCGAAAAACCTCTTGACTGCTCACCACTGCGACTTAATTTGTTGTATATGAGTCCCGTCTTCAGTCACAAATGGATTTTCTGGGTCCGAGTGATTAACTTTTTTATGAGTGTTTAAATTTGTTTTTTTTTTACACAGATGTTAAAAAAAACAAATTTACATTCCGTTTCATATGAAATTTTTAGTGAAATTTATTTTAATCGTAAATAATTAAAAAGGCGTTTCCGAAATCGAGTCAAGTAAGTGGATTATTGACAGATATCCGTTCAGATACAGATATCTTGTCGTATCCGCGTAGTGTGTGACACGCTCAAGAATATTTGCTTTGTACGTCACGCTTGGCAAGCGGGCTGACGATCGCAGTGCAGTACCGGCGTGATTAGCAGGTCTCGCATCATTGATGCCGATCTGGGTATT